TCATTCCATGAAGGATGTTCTTTTAGTGAGTCCCACTTCAAATCCTCCTCCCACACCATGTAAATATGACGGAAAAAAGGAACTGTCATTCATGAGTTCCAAGAAGCAATTGAAAGGCACTGATTATGAGAACTCTGTGGGAGTAATCAGGTGGTTAGAGCATGAAGGGCATTTAAATGCAGATTTTAGAGTGAAGTTTCTTACCTGGTTTAGCTTGAAAGCAACACTGCAAGAGAGACGTGTGGTAAGTGCCTTCATAGACACTTTGATTGATGACCCTCCAAGCCTGGCTGGGCAGCTCATCGATACCTTCTCGGATGAGATTTCCTGTGAACAAAAACCAGTCCCTCGGCTTGGACTTTGCACTACACTGTGGCATTAACAATTGTGCAGGAATTCCATTCTCTATGCAGATTAGAGAGAATTAACTTATCTTGTTTTCATGAAATGAAAAAAGTTATCAATTTTCTTGAAAAATTTGAGCAATACCATGAATGAGATTCCTTGATTACTATGCTGGTAGACACTTAATTAATGATTGGATGGTCTATGGAGATGCATGTATTTTGTAAAATGGATGGAACTAGGAGTATTGTTTGGTATTGCATACTCTGCATCTTTACTACTAAAATGCTTCTATGTGTTGTGGATTAGAGAAGTTCACAAAAGCCATTTTTATAAACTGATCTAAAATGTTGCGGCACAATGAACAGTTTTTCTGTGGATAAATCTTGTGCATGATTTATCACTTTCTGGAATATGCATCTCGCTTTCTTATTCTGACAGTAAAAAAAATTTCAGAAGGAAAACATTTCCTTGAAAGCAAGTTTAAAGGGAAAAAAAGAACGAGAGAGAGAGAGAGAGAGAGAGAGAGAGAGAGAGATCCATGATTATCCTTTTTGCATTGCGTGGATGGTTTCTTTTGTGTTCTTTCTTTCTTGCAGCCAAAACCACTAAATAGGCAAAAAAACCTTGTTGCCCTTCAATTTCAAAATGATTGTACACAGAAAAACTGGCCATTGTCTATCGCAAATAAATTTTTTGTAGAATGATAAGTTGATAATTCTCAACCCACGATGGATATGAATTCTAAGTTTCCTTCAAAACTTCTTCATAGTGGCTATAAAATGTTTGCGATCAATTGCAAAAGTAAATCTTCCAAATAAATATAATTTGTCCTGTGTGACGTATAACTGAACTTTCTAACAGTAGTATTCTTGGTACAATATCGAAAAAAACTTGTCAGTACCACAGTCATTTCCTCATGGATAATATTTGATCCGAGTATATGATGTTCAACTCTATTCTTCTTTGGGGTAGTTGTTTCGAGTGCAGTTTGTTGTCCTACCACAACTAGTTCCACCTAAATATTGCATCCATCCACCTCGGTAGCCAATAGTGTACTTCCCCAAAGTTGGTACTCAGAGCTAAACAAATACCACAAGAAGCAAACAAATACAATCTGAACAAATTCAACAGTAACAAATCTAAGTGAAATTCATCGGCAGCAAACATTTTAACTTACAAAAACATTATGTGAACCAGCTGTGCCAGAAAATGCACACAGGCCCCTAGTAATTTACTTCCAACTTTTGAGCATCAATACATGTCATATATGACAATCTGATAACTTCCAATAATGGTTCATGGAATTTCGTGGAGGTCTAAGGCATCAAGCAATCCCCGCAGACGTTTTCTTGGCTATACATTGAGCCACATTCATAATTGTTGAAAAGTTGAGGGATGACTTCTCCACAAAAATGCAACATCACGTACTAGGTCCATCGTTAACAGCATCATTAAACGAGGCAGCCAAGTATTCAGCAAGGCTTGGCTGAGAACTAGACACCTTTGGAGCTTCTGAAACTCTAGCTTTCTTCATGCTAATAGATTTTGGAAGCCAGGATTTCGAGGAGTTGGGTGTATTCAAACTCTTCCAAATGACAGGTTCCAAAAATTTCCACGGGTCTTCCACCATCGACTTGTTGTAATAAACATCTGGTCTAACCTCTGCTGAGACATGATCATGCGAGCCTGATCGTCCCCCACCTCTGTGTGCTGAACCATAATACCCGCTATGGCCCGACCATCGACCCCTTCCTCTTCCTGAACTAGGACCGGAGCTGCCACCTCGTCCTGGACTAGGGCCAGGACTCCTGTTGACCCAGTTCCATCTGCCTTGCCCAGAGTTGAAACTTGGACTACCTCTCTGTTCAAAACCAGGGCTGCGAAAATTAACCCCCCCTGATGGATTAGATGGAAAAAAATAGCCAGGCGTACCACCGGATCCATTCCATATAATAGGAGGAGTTTCCTGCGGCATGCCAGAAGGACTGGCCATTCCCACTGGGCTTCTATAGGGACCAGAGCTGTTATAGAGTCCTTGATGGTACACCCTCTGATCGGGGGAATAGTTGATTTGGGCTTGATAAGCTTGGGGAAAATTCACTTCAGGGGTCCTTGGTCCTGCTCATTGATAAGTAAATACGTAAATAAAACAGACATATTTTATCAATGCATATACAATTTCCTAATCAGTTTTGTCAATGATTAATTCCTAGAAAAGAGGAGCTTCAAGTAACTAGTTAAAATCATAAATAGTCCAGAGCATTGATAGGATAACATTAGAAATCAAATTCGAAACTATCAAGCTGGAAAACTCTTCCTATTACTGTGCAACAACCTGTAAAGATACACCTTGGTAAGTTTTGAAAAAGTTCAAAATAATATATTATGTCCGTAATTAAAAGTAATAAGCAATAACCCAAAAAAAATATAGGAAGAAGAAGAAGAAGAAACAAGAGAAAGAAAATGCCTACCAACACATAGTAACCACACCATGCTAGGTAATTATTAAGTGTAATGCCTATGTACAAGCAAAGGTACCTCCGTCTCTCCCACTCCACATATAATCATGCTATACTGAAATCAGAGTCAGCTCTTACACCCACTACATAACACTAAAAGCCACACACAAACCTCAAACCAGCATCTGGGTGACACATCACGGACAATTTTAATCCACCATGTGCCAAAAGGATTTGATGGCGCCAACAGTTCTCCATCAGACATTTTTTAAGTGAAAAGAGAGCAATAAATAGTGACTCACTATGAGGTTCTTCATCTCGCTCTGTCCCATCCTCTCTCTTTCAGTGATATCTCTTTTCTCTGTTCTTTTTCCATGTCTCACCATTGGAAGGCTGTCTTCAGCCATGTTCTATTCAACAACCTCCTCATGTTGCTAGCGGTTACTATTTATCTCTAAGTCAAATATCCTTCATACTAGAAGAAAAGAAGCCTCGATAGAAACCAGAAAAACATAGAACTTTTACATTATCAAAATATCTATGTACATCTGTTGTGCTCCCTTTGCACCTTTTAGTAGATTGCTTATTTGTGAACACGCATAGTCTCTCTCTCTCTCTCTCTCTCACACACACACACCCACATAAACAGAGCTACCCACCCATCTATCTATCCAGATATACAAAAAATCTCAACTAGACTTCAACGAACAACATATATACAAACCCAAAACTAGAGATCATGAGAAATATCAAAATCAAGGATGAAGCCATAATTCACAAACAAATATGCAACATCCCAATTATGCATGTCCACAAATAAGTAAACTGACACCAAAAATAACCATATGGCATTACTTGGAGGTGTGTAAGAGTCTTGCTGTAAATTCTGATGGCTGACCTTGCTCCTCCTCTTGTCCGCAGAGAACGCCGACCCAGGGTTTGTGTAGTAATCAAACCTCGGAGTCGCATACGACTCGGCAGGCCCTGGTGTAGTCGCATAGCCGGAGGTTTCAATCAATGGATTGGACAAGCCACGAGACACAGGAGAATTCCCCAAATTGTTACAATCTCCAGCCTCGTTAGCTTCCATTCTCATTGCTCTCAATCTTTCCCTTCTCTTCTCCGATTCCTCCATTATTCCTATGCATTGTGAAAACAGTCACATTCAATCACGGAAACAAATTAGGGCTAGCACACACACACACACACATATATGCACACACATCTATACTAGGGTTTGCGTATATATGCTTATACACAATTATGCAGCAAACTACAATATCTACCAGTACATATTAGCCAATTAGACTTCAATACACTCAGAGAGAGAGAGAGAGAGATGAGGGAAATCACCTGAGTGGACGAACGGCAACAAACAACAGATGGTGACTTGCTGCGTGCGGATGACAATTTAGAGAACTGAATGAGATCGTGGCTTGAGGGTAGAGTTGAGAGAGTGAGAGAGAGAGAAGACGAGAACGTGAGAGGCAGTGACCAACGGTGAGCCTTGAAGAGAGTGAATCTGATTTTAACTTTAGGGCTAAAAAATTATGGATTTTATAGGATAGATGATAGATGCCATCCTGACATCGTGATTAGGGCATCTCCGGTCTAGAAACTCCGGCGAGTTGAAAGGTGAATTTTAGGTATGTAATTTTTACCTCTAATATTAACCATTAACTCTCCCTCAAGGATTTTACTCGAGTATTGATTAAGTTTAATTTAAATAGGGTCGGATTGAATTTGAATTATATAATTCTAATAAATTTTGAATTAGAACTTAAATAGAGTTTGGATTACATAATTTAAGCTAATATCGAATTAGAATTTGAGTTGGATTTATTCAAACTCGAAATTAAACTGTTATTTTAAACTTGGTGCATAATACATAGTATTCATCTAAAGTAACAATCAACAACTTCAATCAAATATTTAAAATAAATACCTTAGTATTTAAGATATGGAGACATAATAACCAAATATTTAACATAAGACTGAACCAGAAGATTGATCTCTAATGTTTTAACTTGTAAGTTATATTGCTATATTAATTTATATATTTATTTTTAACTATTTTAGGGCTGAGCTTGATTTATATATTCATGTTGAACCCGGTAACCCGATACATCAACCTAGATACTATCTAAATTCAATTTGAGTTGGTGTTTTTGTGGGTTGCCTAAGGGTTGGCCTATTCAAGTTTCACCCCCTACTCCAATCTTTACTCTTTTTTATACATTTTTTTTAAAGTAAAAACTTTTAATTTTTTTTCCAATATTAGATTAACACCCATACCAAAAAAGCAAAAAAAAAATCTTTTTTTAAAACTCAATTCCTTAATTTTTTTACCAATTGTGATATTATACTCTTTTTTAAATAACCAGTAGTCATATTTATTCTTTTTTAAATTTGACTTTGTCCCCATTTAAAAAAAAAATTCTATTCATTCAAATTTGGGTTCCTCAATTGCAGAGGTTTGTTTATACCAAATTAAGTTTTTTACCTTTTTTTTTACTCAAATTTTGGTAAATGGGGTTGAGTCTCCATTGAAAATGGGGTCTTAGGGGTGTTAAAATATTAAAAAATGCTATGCATACCAAATTTTTTACCAAAAAAATATTTTTACCGAATGAGTTAGCAATTTCATATCATTCTTAAACCCACTAAGTGCTGATTAAAATGTCTTTGATTGGATATGAAGTTGATAACTCATTTAGTAAAAGTATTTTTTGTTAAGCATAACATTACTATAAAATATTACACAACTCTAACATGATTAAAAATTAAAAAGTTTTAGTTTTCTTTAAACCATCTGTTTGGTAAATGAATAGATCCTACAAGATAACTGATAAGACTTAAGAGTATCTTTAGCCTTACTATTTTTTGTATCTAAATTTAAATTTGGATAAAAATGGTTTAACCTGCTTCTCCAACCCATACTTATATCAAATAAAGAAAAATCTTTTTTTAAACCTAAATCAAGAGAGAGATTTTTTTAAACTCAAATCTTTAATGGTGAAATTACATCATCCTTTAAAGATTCAATTGTCATAATTTTAACTCTTTTAAATTTTATTTTCTCTTCCTTTAAATTTGAGTTTCTCCATTAGAGAGGCCTATATTAAATCAAGTTTTTTTACTTTTTTTTTTACTCAAATTTGGATAATAGTATGAATTTTCATTAAAAATAGAAACGAATCGAATATAGGTGAAGCCAATCAAAAGAAATATATGACACAACTTGTTTATATTTTGGTTATACATGATACGATTAGTTGAACATGAAATAATAAACGAATTGAATATGAATGAAATATTTTTTTGACATTAACCCGCCTCACCCGACATACAGGCCTAATCGCGATATCTGTATTTGGAGTGAATGACACTTTATATACTAAATTGTTTTTTTAAGATTTTAACTTAAACCTTAAAAATTTAAAATTTTTACATAATATCCTTAATTAGATAAAAATGTAACAATGTAGTTTAAAAATAAATGTTTATTTATTCTTTTGACAAATTTTTTTATTTTATTTGTCATATTATCTTATTTTTATACACAATATTTGCATAATTCTATTTATTTTAAAAAAATATTTACATAAAATAATACTCAATTTTAAATATTTTGAATTAAAATTTGATACTCAATTTTCTTAAATGAAATATATTGCTATTTTTTTTATTTGATTAATGATGCAATATATAAATTTCAATCATTCAGCTTATAAATTGAGAATATATCTTTAAAGTACAAAGTGCTATTTTCCCTTTTTATTTTATACTGGTAGATCTCTTATTATATAGATTTTTAGGAGAAATCATGTGATTTCAGATCATAACCTCCATTGGGTATCATGTTGGTGAGTAGTACCTGATGGAAAGATTATACGATCGAGCACCTCCCAAAGTGATTCTCTCGAGTGAGAAATGAGAACTGCCGCAGCATAAAAAAATTGTCAACTTTCTCTCTCCACTCCACTCAGTTTTTTCAGCTACTTTCCCTCGGAAAAATGTCCGCCAACGACGGCTTCCAAGGTTCCCCTCTCTCTCTCTCTCTCTCTCTCTCTCTCTGTGTCTATATGCTCGTATCCATATCTAAAGTAGCTTAATATTAGTCATAGCTACATAAACCCTTATATGACTATGTGGGGATTTACGGAGAAGATGTCCTTTCTCCCATGAATGATGTTGAGGTTTTTCTTTTTCTTTTTTTTAATGTTATTTTCTCTTTTATTAAGGATTATGCTGCGTTCTGGTTTGTGCATTTCCTTACAAATTCTTCTCTTGCTAACTATTGGTATACGAACTACGAAGCTATAATTGAACGCGAGCGCGCGCGGGCGGGCACACACACACACACACAGCATAAGGTGAGAAAAATCCCAAATTTAGATGCTGATTGTTTATCTTTTGGTTGTTGTTAGTTGTTCGTGGCAAGAGATACAATTTCTTACCGTTATTTAGAGTAGTAGGTGTTTTAGGCAATAGGTATGGATATATTTTCTCAACCCTTTTTTTTTTCCTTGATGACAATTGTGTTTTTTGAAAAGGGTATTGGGTGCAACAAAATGTTGCTTTGGTTACACCTCAAGGGATTGGTAGAAGCGAAGAAAAATGGTAGAATTAGTAATGAAAAAGTCACTGTCCTCCTATTTTTCACTACTCGTAAAGCACGGATATTTCACCATGGTGGAAGTGTCTATATCCGACATGTGTTGTGACAGATTGTTATGTACATATTTTTATGTAATATGAGAGGTAGTTATTAGATAAATATTTTAGTAAGGGAGTTAATGGTAGAGTATTTTGTGGGTAATTTTCTAGGTGGTTACTGAGATAATGGAGTCATGAATCAAATTAGTTATAAAGGTAGTTTTTATCAACTTGTATTTAAAGGCTTCTCTATCGATGGAAATGGGATGTTGAATATTGTATTGAATTTTTTTGTAAAGTTTTGGAGATAAGTTCTTCTCGAATTGAACCATTGGAGGTTTTCACCCCCTCGAAGCGGGTTTTCTTCTCCAATTCTATTTTCGTTTATTTTCTAAATTCCTCAAAATGTGCACGTAACAATATGTTATGTACATATTTTTAATATATTTTTATGTAATATGAGAGGTAGTTATTTTAGTAAGTGAGTTAGTGGTAGAGTATTTTGTGGGTAATTTTCTAGGTAGTTACTAAGATAATGGAGTCATGGATCAAATTAGTTATAAAGGTAGTTTTTATTAACTTGTATTTAAAGGCTTCTCTATCAATGGAAATGGGATGTTGAATATTGTATTGAATTTTCTTGTAAAGTTTTGGAGATAGGTTCTTCTCGAATTGAATCATTGGAGGTTTTCACCCCCTCGAAGCGGGTTTTCTTCTCTAATTCTATTTTCGTTTATTTTCTAAATTCCTCAAAGTATGCACGTAACAATTGGTATCAGAGCCAGACATGGAAGATCTAGTTGATCGACTTGAAGCGAAAGTTCACTCATTAATTATCGGACAAGAGAGGATAATGAAAAAGATGCACGAATTGTTTCTTACTATGAATTCGCGTTTTTATCATAAGGAAGATGAAAGGTCTTCTGGTCAATGAAATGAAGATTTTAAATAAAAATTTATTAAAAATATGTACATAACATTATTGTTACGTGCATACTTTGAGGAATTTAGAAAATAAACAAAAATAGAATTGGAGAAGAAAACCCGCTTTGAGGGGGTGAAAACCTCCAATGGTTTAATTCGAGAAGAACCTATCTCCAAAACTTTACAAGAAAATTAAATACAATGTTCAACATCCAATTTCCATTGATAGAAAAGCCTTTAAATACAAGTTGATAAAAACTACCTTTTTAACTAATTTGATCTATGACTCCATTATCTTAGTAACCACCTAGAAAATTACTCACAAAATACTCTACCACTAACTCACTTACTAAAATATCAACCTAATACGTGCACGATTTTGGGTGACTTGTAAAAAAAAGAAAAAATAGAATCGAGGAAGAAAATCCGCTTCAAGGGGGTGAAACCTCCAATGGCTCAATTCGAGAAGAACCGAATCTCCAAAACTTCTACAAGAAAGTTCAATACAATATTCAACATCTCATTTCCATTGATAGAGAAGCCTTTAAATACAAGTTGATAAAAACTACCTTTATAACTAATTTGATCCATGACTCCATTATCTTAGTAACCACCTAGAAAATTACCCACAAAATACTCTACCACTAACGCAATTACTAAAATATCTACCTAATAACTACCTCTCATATTACATAAAAATATATTAAAAATATGTACATAACACAGATATTCATTGCTGAATTTAGCCATATCCTTGCTGGTCTCTGCTGAATTTCAAAGTCTTTGTTGAGCATTGTTTAGTGGATAGGAAGCATGGATATAGATACGGGACAATACAAAACGGACATGGTGACACAATAAAATTGAAAAAAATAGAATATGAATGCAATAAAATAAGTGAATAGATAATTTATATTTATATATTTCACGTAGTATATTGTATTACATGATTAATTATTGACAATTCATGGATGTATGGCTTAAAGTATGTAATATCAATGTAAACAAACCTATTGTATATTGCAGTACAATTGATGTCACAAGATAATAAATTAAATCCTTAAATCTTAATGGACCAAAAAATACAGTTATTCCAATGAACAACTCTTATACAATGTCAAATATATAAAAAAATGTAATAAGATATCCAAATCGGTCTCTTGCTTTCACTTATAGATGAGTAAAATCTAAAAGGCAACAATAACGACATGTTAGAAGAGGGTCTAGTTCAATAAATAGTACATTGAATTGATCGATTATTTTGAGGTCAAAATAATAATTTTTTAAACAAACTCCCTTATTTTTGTTTTAAAAGGAATTTTTTTTTGTTTATTTATATTATTTACTGCCATAGCCTGTTTTAAAGTATAAAAATGATATACTTAGCTACAAAGTATCCCCACGTATACTACATGTATCCTTGCCGTATCCCAAAGGTATTGACTGCGTTCCTCAACGTAATGAACATTGATGGTTTTAAGTTGAGAAAGCCGTCAGAATCTTGATTGGACCTGATTCAGTGGCATTGAATAGGTAGACATCTGTTGATTCTGGGTAACCTTTCAGGTTTCTTATGTTGGGTTGAAGTTGAAGCCATTTATAGTAGTCATCTTCACGGGTTCATTGATGCATTGCAGGTGTGTCAAATTGTTATGTTTTCAAGAGTCGGTTGCAAGAGTATGCTCAGAAAGTAGGGCTTTCTACACCTGTTTATGAGACCATCAAAGAAGGTCCTTCCCACGAGCCTTCGTTTAGGTCAACAGTAATTGTGAACAATGCTAGATATGATTCTCTACCTGGATTTTTCAATCGTAAGGCAGCAGAACAGTCAGCTGCTGAAGTTGCTCTCATGGAACTGGCCAACTCTGAAGGCACAACCGAATGCATCTCTCAACCAGTGGTATTGATCTGTTTTTAAGCAACCTTTTGCTTGCTTGCATCTTTAGCACCTCAGTTTGTTCATAATGTAAGAGGCTTATAGTGGGGTGTATAATTTTTTATGCAGAATGGTTTTGTTTTTGTCTCTTTGTTCTCTTCCTTGAGAAAATCAAGGTTTTTGAATTTTATGACTTGAAGCTTTGCGGCAGTTCTGTTGTAAGATATTGGAGTCATTATGAAAAATAATGATAATCTCATAATTAATGTCAAAGTTACGAATTCATTCATCTCAAGGAAGTTTGACAATGAGCACGTAACAGGAAATATATTGAAATCTTGTATTTCCTCAGTTGTCCCATGTAAGAGACATCCAAATGCAGCATTCAGAATTAAATACCTGCACGTCCATCGTCCTTCATCTGTAACATTATGCATCCAATTTTGTCACGTTTATTTATGTCTTTCTGCATTAGCTGTTCCACTTTCCATCTGACAACTGAATGTATGACTTCATTTTTAAGAAACTCTTGACATAAGAGATGATTTGATTTTGTGGGAAGAAGTGCTTCGAGCATGAGTTTGTTATATCCTGCTGCATTCTTTTTTTCCAGATAGGAGTTATGTGCTGATGTAATTTGTCTTCACTTTCTCTGTTCTCCCATTGTTTGTAGCTGTGATTTTCCATACTTGATAAACTTGAGCATATGTACATATCTAGCCTATTCTTGTTAAATTTTAAGTCATACAACCACATCGTAATCACAGTGTGAAAAAGATCAACAAATGCATTGTGACCTAAGCACCAATATGGCACCCTGTTTGCACATTGTTATTTTGCGAGGCACTATTATGTTTCTTCCCTTTTTTTTTAATCATTGAGTATTTTATTTAATAGGATTTTGATTGCTGGTTGTAATTGTCTCCTAGATAGGAACTTCAACGTATTTCTCTTAAACTTCCTACACACTTATGCAATAGATTGATCTTTTTCTTAAATTTCCTATATACATATGTATTAGATTGGATCTCCTAAGTTTTTTTTTAAGGAAAAATATTTAGAAAATAGAAAGGTAATTGGCAGTTGGCATGACTCCCCCTTTTGACTAGTTGCCTCCATGTTCAATGACTTATTTTTTGAGGAAGACGCTTGCCCATGCAGCATCCAGGTTCTCCTCTAGTAATGGTTTGAACATCAAAGAAGGGTTATTCTCAATTGATCTGAACTGGTGAGGAGTTTTTATCAATAGAACACAAAGAAAGATCATCTGTTCCTGTACTTTTCCCTTTTGTCGTCAATGAATATGATTTAAACATTACCTTTTGGTTTGTCTTGTCACTGGTGGAAGTGGAATGAATTTGAGGAAGGTATTCAAAATGGTCATGTAGTAATGATGCCTTTTTTCTTCTGTTTCTTTTTCTTTTGGAACATCACATGTGCAACCCTGATTAATTGTAAGTGTAAACTACTCCAAAATACAGAAGTAAGGCCCATCTATCCATGTAAAGTTATCATTTTGACTGGTTCATTTTTGTTATTCTTGGATTTGAAATAAATTTTGGGGAAGTTTATTGAATTTTAGGAAATGAAAAACAACATATAGTGTAGGGATGTGGATGAGGCTATGCGCTACTGATCATCAAATGAGGTTGGCGGGTAGAAAACTAAAGAAGACACATTTGATATGGGTGTTTGATCCTTTAACAAGAGATGGTGTTTCCAGTAGCACATTCATGGTTAAAAACTCAAAATGGTAACAGAGAGTGAATGGTACATAGAGATGAGTAACTGCTCTGACATCTTCGTTTTGGTTCCTTAGCAAACATTAGCATTGTATTTCCATGTAATAATATGCCACCAACTTAAAATCCACATTGTTTTCATTCCTAAGTGTGTTGATAGCACTGTGCATCTTTTCCCAGCATCACACATGAACATTTTCACACTCATTTAAAGAGTAGAACATAGAAGAAAGGACCAACGTCTACAAGCTTCTTTTCCGATGTTGTACTAGCTCAAGCTTTGTTTTCACATTTCCGTTGGTGCTGTTACTTTCACTTTTTTTAATGAATTGTCTCCAGAGTTAAGTTCATGAGAATTCTATGAAAGATTACAGTTGGCACTATGGAGATATTGATCTAAGAATTTAGTGGAGAAAGGGGAAAACAAATAATGAAATACCCAAAATGAAGTATAATCTGAAAGCCATTTTTACAGAATTTACTACCAATGCCAGTATAGGGTTCAATTGCTCCCCATCACCCTCCATTCTTACAGAGCAGAAGGTTGCTCCTGGTGTATTCTTTCCTAGCAGATGTATGATCCTTCTTCTGCTCTAGGTTTCAATTGAATAAAATATATGTGTTGCATGGTATTGGGTCCATCAGGTACGTGATATAGCTTCGAGACAAGAAGTCTGAAAATTATTGAAGCTTCCACCATGAACTGACTAAACAATGGCATACTTCATATGTGTATTTGTAGTTCACTATTGACAGACTGACAGATAGATCTATCATGTATCTTTCTTGCATTCGTGTTGCTCTTGGTACTTCATCATTCCTCATGACCGTGTCTTTTGCATTTGTGTTTCAGCATGAAACAGGCTTGTGCAAAAATTTACTGCAAGAGTATGCACAGAAGATGAACTATGCAATTCCAGCTTATGAATGCCATAAGGATGAAAAAACGGCTGGTAGAGTACCCCTCTTTTCTTGCACTATTGAGATAGGTGGAATTACGTATATTGGAGCTGCAGCAAGAACAAAAAAGGAAGCAGAATTAAAAGCTGCCAGAACTGCTCTATTGGCTATCCAGTCTACTGGGTCTAATGAGAAATCTTCTGGCAACTCTGGGTACACGGTTATTCCATGCAAAAAGAGAGTGACAGATTTTAGTGTCAATCTCCAAGAGACTGTAGCAGCACTCAAACCAAAGAAAAGTCATTTCAAAAAGAAACCACAGAAGAAGAGACATTCTGGGCCTGGCGGTTACCATGCCCAACGGGGAAATATGGGTAGTTTGGATGTTAATGGGGATAGCGAGGCGCGGCCAGAAGTAGGTAAAACTGATGCTTTTGGTGTCCAAGTAACAGATTCCGTATTTTCGCCCATGGAAGCAACTAAGAATTTCCAAGACGAAAGGTCTTTCAATGGAGACATAGATGATGTCTTGGTTCCCTACAAAAACGGAGATGCAAAAGATGTGCACTTAAAAGCTCTGAATTTTTCCCCGATTGAGGTTGGAACTAACAATCCAGGAATCAACTCTATGATCAGTGGAGGTGATTTGACTTGTTTGGTCAAGGAGGTGAATAAGATTCCTGGAGTTGGGCAGGTGGCTTCAATTGTGAATAACTCTACCATGGGTCAGGGAGAGGTACCAAGTGGCATAAATGGCTTGAATGAAAGGGCATATGGAACAGATGCCGGCCAAACGAAGGAGAGGATTATGGAGGCTTAGATTCTGGTGATTACTTTTTGGGTTTCTGCAGTTAGGGAATTGTATCAGAGGGGTCAGGAATGAGATACTATTTAACATAACCTGAAAACAGGTGTCTTGAGCATTTATAAATCGACACTGGTAAGATTGTGTTGGACTATTCGTTTTTGATTTCATCTAATGCAGGGATATCATGGTGCCCTTTTATTTATGTCCCATATGCTTGTGCTTGCTAGTATTGACAAAATTGTAGTAGTGGCTATACAAAGTACAACTATTTAAGTTTACACATTCGATTTCTGACTATTTTATTGGTCATTGATGAATTGTCTCATTTTGTCAAGTATCCATATGGACTGTTGAGGTTTGTTTTCTTCATTTTCCTGAAACTTGAGAATATCCTCAATTAGGAAAAACTATGTACTTCGATTTCTGGTCATCTGTTCCAATGCTGAACCTGCTCAATTTCTTATTGGGAAACACTAAAGATATACCTGCAACAGTTATATGGAGGAATTATGAAAATCTTGTGTTGGACTTCAAATGTTACGAATAATATCTGAAAATTCAACAGATATCAAGGGGAAAGAGCATTGTAAATTCCTAAGCAAACCTTCCATAACAAGGTTTGCCCTGCTAAGTCTTTGAAGTCTTCTGGGGAATCAAGTATTCTTGTGAATGCTGAACCTTAATTTCTCTTCTTTGTTGCTTTAAATAGTAGTCAATTTTAGTGTTTCTCCATTGTAACACTTAACTTGAGAAACTGTGTAGCCAAGGGACAGAGAGTTGATTTGTTAAATAGCTTCTTAAGAGTTCTTCATTAATTACAGTCTTATGATCTATATTTGGGAATGCTTTTCCTCAATTTTCTTTATTTGCTATAAGTTTAAGTGGGACATACCATACACGGGCATTTCACATCAATGCATGGTGGATTAACTACTTTTGAGAGAAATTGAAGAAAAAAAATGTTAGAAAAGATCTAAAGCCTAGTTCTAGCTAGCAGTGGGTATATATTGGCTGAGAAGCTAAGAAACCAATAGATGAGAGAAGGAACATGGTAATAGAATTGGATGTCTCCTACAATGAGGTTGCTGCACCTTCTGTTAACACAAGAAGGTTATTTGTGTTTCCCTCAAACAGTTGGAAGTGATTGGAATATTGAGGAATTTGCTATAAGTGGTGTCACTGTGACAAACTAGTGGGAATCTTTTTCTGTTGTTAGAGGCCTGATTTGATGCAAGGGCACAGAGGAGGTGGTGTTCTTCAAAACGACATTGTTTTACACAAAACGTCGAAGCCGGACCCTTGATGCAATGAGACTCCAATGATATACCCCGTATGGTTGATCTGTTGGCAATCGGCTCTCATCGAGAAAGACAGTATAGAAGGATATCACACGACATTTTAGTGTCTTAAAAGGGTTGGACATACAATGTTTTTATACCACGTCTGAAGATATTGCATTCGATACAAAAATAGCGTTGCACTTGGGAGGACGACAATAATCCTAACTAATCTAAATAATATACTCAGCATCATAGTTATTGTCAATGTCATTTTTCTCACAAATGGACATCTTGGCTTTTGGTCAAACCACCCAAAATTTTAATATTTTTTTATGATCACAATGTATTATTTAAAGGCCAAAAAAAGGAGCTTACACTTCTTTTTTGTTAAAAAATAGTAATAATTGATGATGCACAAAAATGATTTTGCACACCACCTGTCAAGTATAGATAATAAATGCAATAAAATCAACGAAAAAATTAGAGAAGACACAATTTATAGTGGTTTGGTCAATTCGACCTACGTCCACTCTTCAATGGCTTCAGTCGCCGGGTATTTTATTGATTCAAAGGTATGGAGAATGGAGATACAAGCTTTGAGAGGGAGAATGGAGAATCAAAGAAAATAGTAATCTCCGGTAGTCGGTTCGTCTTCTGTAAGTCTCTGATGGAGCATGTGTCATTCCTCTCTCAGATTAGAGCCATTTTATAGTAGATAAGAGATCATTCTTGTGGAGATCATAACATATCCTCAAGGCTTCTTTATCGCAGCTAAGAGATTATCTTCGGTGGAGATCACGACTTATTCTCAACGGGAGGAAGAGTTTGGGGAACTCTTGAAGGAAACGTGGTCAAAGATTGGACCGTTGATAAGCTTCTTGTGCTCTCTTCTTGGTGACGTGCTAAGCAAGAAGTCCAACCGTGCTCTCCTCTTGGTGACGTGCTAAGCAAGAAGTCCAACCGGCCTTGGGCTCCCTAAGGCGGTGTAGATAAACTTCCCGTGCTCTCCTCTTGGTGACGTGCTAAGCAAGAAGTCCAACCGTGCTCTCCTCTTGGTGACGTGCTAAGCAAGAAGTCCAACCGTGCTCTCCTCTTGGTGACGTGCTAAGCAAGAAGTCCAACCGTGCTCTCCTCTTGGTGACGTGCTAAGCAAGAAGTCCAACCGTGCTCTCCTCTTGGTGACGTGCTAAGCAAGAAGTCCAACCGTGCTCTCCTCTTGGTGACGTGCTAAGCAAGAAGTCCAACCGTGCTCTCCTCTTGGTGACGTGCTAAGCAAGAAGTCCAACCGTGCTCTCCTCTTGGTGACGTGCTAAGCAAGAAGTCCAACCGTGCTCTCCTCTTGGTGACGTGCTAAGCAAGAAGTCCAACCGTGCTCTCCTCTTGGTGACGTGCTAAGCAAGAAGTCCAACCGTGCTCTCCTCTTGGTGACGTGCTAAGCAAGAAGTCCAACCGTGCTCTCCTCTTGGTGACGTGCTAAGCAAGAAGTCCAACCGGCCTTGGGCTCCCTAAGGCGGTGTAGATAAACTTCCCGTGCTCTCCTCTTGGTGACGTGCTAAGCAAGAAGTCTAGCCGGTCTTAGTCTGTCTTGGACTTGGTGGGTTCACGATGAGGTTGGGCTCCTCAACCGGGGTTGGGCTTTAATACATAAATTGGACTACTTGGGCTTAACCCATCAATAATAATCATGTGTCTAAAAATACCCTGAAATATCAAAAATCAAACTTTGATCATATAACATTTATATTTTAAGTAGCAATATATTTTTTCTTTTTTTTTTAAATTATACAATTTAAAATTAAAATGAATAAAAACAAAATAAAAGAGAGGTAAAGGACATGAAAGAAAAGGGTATATGCAGATTAGTGACATTGTCTAACATTAGACAGTGTGTTAGTTGGATTGTCTAACATTAAGGGTGTGTTTGTTTGGAAGGATAAAGGTGGATATCACAAGTAGGATTGAATAAAAAAAATCGGGGGACCACATATCTCAGCTTTGGGTTCTCCAAAAGGGATAGGATTTTTGTTGGGCTTGAATTAATCAGCCTGTAGGAATTTGGCATGTTGTCCCACCTGATTAGGATTCCTGAAACCCAGCTGAAGTTTGGGATTAGTAAGCCCACATGCTGGATAAGGAATAAAATTATTAAAATGCCCATTAACAGTAACTAAGGTAGGGTTTTTACCCTCTTTCCCTTCCCTTTCACCTGGTCCCCCACTTTGACAACGGCGCAGAGTCTTCAGTGGAAGGTAAAAAAATCTCTCTCTCTCTCTCTCCTTCTTGTGTCCCTTGTCTTTATATCTCTTGCCTGGTTATGATTTGCTGGTTCCTCTGTCTCTCTCTCTTTTTCTCTTCCTCCATGGCTGATGCTTGAAACGTTCATACTCGATGGAGGACATTTCCATGGCTAATGCCTAAAAATTTTCGGCATGATATATATATTTTTTTCAACCAGTTGTATACTGAAATAAAAATGTAAAACAAGTATGACATATTTTAATTTTTCAACCAGTTACATTCCAATCGCAACATATATACTGAAACGAGAAAGAAACAGTTCAATCTTTGGACTAGTGCTTGTCCAGTCCAATTTCCATAGCCAGTAGATTACATACATAATAAGTGTGATCAACGTGACTTCCTTTTTGTTTACTAGGTGGTGTAAATCTTTTGTATACGTAATTATTTTTGCTTATGTATTGTTTTTCTCTGTTTTTTTCTATTTTGGAATTCAGTTTAAATACTTTAGATATCTTTAAATAAAGTTACCCTTAAAAAGAATAGAAGAATTGTGAAAGAGGAAGAGAGTGGTATTTGTTGATAAGGGATAATGACTTGGACTTTGGTTGGAGTTTTTTTTCTGCCAAGACAGTGCTGGTCTGTTTGAAATATTGGGAGAGGATGTGGATGATTGTGATGAAGCTGCTGGGCTGAATGATGTTTGAATGTTTTTTGGTCTTGTTGATAAGTTTGTTGAGTTTTTATAGGGCTTTTGTGCCTTGGAGTTATTGGTTTTTGGTAAGGCAGTTGTGTCATTTATTGCTTCTTGTATTTTTTTTTTTTTGTTAATAAATAAAACACTCCTTAAAAAAAAATTAAAAAAGAATAAAAAGAATAAAAGAATTAAATAGTAAAGTGACCATTTTGTTAAACAACTATCAACTCTAAAAACTTAAAGCTATTTGGTTGGGTGTGATTCAATTAAAGTATTTACATTTCAGCACTCATCAAAAGCTTAAGATATTATTGGGGGTGTAAGTTAAGTATTTATATTTCTAACACATTGAATTTCCAAAAACTCAACATAATGCTGCATAAATTTTCGGTTTGTTTGATCAACATAATTATCTAAAATAACAATTTTGTTAGGATTTCGTAATTTTGGTTTGATGTGTATAATTTTCTTTCGTAGAGGAAGAGTTTTTAGAAGTAGAGAAATTCTTGAACTCGGGGGAAAAAAATTCACTTGCTCAGTTTGATGTTCATATGGATGTACAACTCAAATAACAATAGCCATTTTTCACAAGTATTCGGAGTAAAAATTACATACATCTTAAAACAACGTGCACATCTAAATTTACTCGTTAAAGATTGCTACTGTTATGTGTTATGGATTGAATATAAAATAATGATATCATTGTTGGCCTTTAAGTAGAATAATAAAAAATCGAGGGTCAAATGATATCATTTTTTACATTAATTTTTTTTTTAAAAAAATCGTTAATTTATATTATGGTTTATGTGAATTTGAGTTGTGACGTAGGTTTTTCTATATTCAGTCATTTTTTTGTTATAAATATTTTAATATTTTTGGTAGATGAAATAAATTTCTGAGCGTATTATAAAATTAACGTATAATAACAAGTATTTGGTGAATACATAAGCATTCTTAAATGTTTTATAATATTAAATTGGTAACCAACAATGATAAAAAAGTTAAAAAAAAAAAATGGTAACCAACAATTCTCAAGCCAAATAGGAGATAGGATTTGATAGGATTTAAGGGTAAAATGGTCAATTTATATCAAAGGTATTAAATGTTTAATAAAAAAGTGAAATTTGTCCATATCCCAACCATATCATATGCACTATCCAAACTTGGGATTGGATAACACAATTTCCTTTTATCCCATTAACATATCCGGCCCATTAGGATTTCATTGGACTGGTTTGAGATTTAAATCCAAGCTAGTTCAGTCCACCCATGATTTGCCAAACATACCTTAAGAGTTATGTAAAGAAGATGATATGTTTTAGGAAAATGTTATTTGGACCTAATTTAGGAACTTAATCTAGGGACCTAATTCAATATAACTATTGGATTAATTGTGGACTCCATTTAACATTGGAACTCAGAACTAAGTTAATGGTTACATTGAAACCACATCATTAAGTCCCAAAATAAGATCTCTATAGCATTGCTCTATTTTTTAATCCCAAAAAAATTTAGAGATAAATTTTGTATCGTCCGATAAAATAAATAAAAATTAAATCAATCTTAATCGTTATTATATTTTTTTAATTGTTAATAATTCAACTTTTTAACTGTAATATCGGATAGGTAATGAGATCTCCGAAAAAGCCAATGAGATATTTTTATACTCCCAGGGGGTTGAAAATAAAATTACACACCAACATTGCTAATTTAAGAAAAGAGAAAATTACCCAAAAAAAAAAAAAATACAAAATACAAAAGCATCCAAAACATGATCCTCTTGGACTACGAACCCAACCGGTCCAGTGCCTCTCGAGCCACTTTGTACTTGGGCTCGACCCTAATCGCGTCCTCATAAGCCGTCCTCGCCTCTTCTCTCATACTCTTCTTCTCATAACACTCGCCCAACAAAAAATACGCCTTGGCATTATCATTCTTCAACCTCACCGACTCAACCAGGTCCTGAACCACCGAGTCAATCTGTCCGCGTCGACTCACCGCGAGTCTCAACTCAGCTCTCTTCAACAACGCGTCCCCTCTCTCATTCTCCTCCAGAGACTTCACTGCCAACGGCGACAGAGAGATATCGATCGAGTCAAGAGCCGAGGTCTTGAACCCCTGGAGTTCGAGAGCTAGGGCTTTCAATATATGAGACGCCGCGTCCGTCGGATCGATAGCGATCGCTTTATCGGCTTCGGACTCGGCCGATTTGGCTAGCGAATCGACGGCGGATCGGTCTTTGGAAGATCTGGCTTGGGCTAAGAGCTGAGCGCCATTGACGAAGTGTCGCTTGGCTTGGTGAACGGGTCGGTCTCTGTAACGGATCTTGGAGATGAGTTTTTGGGGGATGTTGTGAATTAACAGGAACACGACGATGATGAGGAGAAATACGGCTGCCTGAAGGATGATATCTTTCCACATATTGTCCATTTTCTCTCTCCAAAACACCTCTGTTTCTTTCTCTACAGTGAATTTATCTCTATAGGGTGTTTCGTTGACCGGGCAATGAGGTTTAGGAGGCTAAGCATTGAATGTAGCCGTCTTGGTTTACCAAGAAGAGAAGGAAAGTGTCGAGCACCGCTTGTTTGAGCTTTTTTCCAAACTCGGCCCTCAAAACTTAATTCTATAATCCAATTACGTTTTAAACTTAATTCTAAAATTCAATTTTTTTTTTAAAAACGTCGTTACGAATAACGTTTTTAATGACGTGGCGTTTTGTAACAAAGCTTAACAGACATTTAAAAAAATAAAAGGGTTAAAAACGTCAATTTCGATGACGATTTGAACGATTAGTCCAACCACTTAAATTTTACAGATCAGATCAAAAATTTTAAAACATAACCTCTCCTCCTCCTCCTCCTCCTCCTCAGCTACTCTCTGACGAGGAAGACCATCGGAGAACCATCCACAAGCGACAACAGCGTCCACCGACGAGCACATCCTCCACCAGCGACCACAGGCTCCACCAGCGTGCACAGGCTCCACCACCAACTGAGCAGTGAGCACATTCTCCATTCTCTATTTTTTGCCCAAAGGATTTGCTTTGTGGCTTGATCTATTCTGGTTGATCTGATATATTGCAACCTCATATGTTAGGGTTCTAGGTCTTGTGTGATTATTTTGGGATGATCAGAAGTTTGGGGTGCAGTCATTTATAAAATGGCTTATGGGTTCGGGCGATGCTCATGGATCTGTGTTCATGGGTGTTTTCTGAACAGATATCAAGAAGGTGAATCTAGGATTTTTATGTAATACGTAATAGGTTAGTGGTCTTTATAGGTAGTTTTGTTGAGTTTTGGTGGTTCGCGTGTGTTTTCTATTGCTAGATGGTGATTTTTTTTGTCGGTAATATTTATGGTGGTGAGTTTTGGTGATTGTGTATTTTTTTTTTGTACTTATGAATATATTTTGTGGTCACAGAGTCATTCAATGGTTTTCTTTTCTTGTTGGGGTTTCCTTTTAGGTTTTATGTTGGAATTGCAGAGGCAGTCGGGTATTTGCACAATGGAACTGAGAGATGTGTTGTGCACAGAGACATTAAGCCCTCAAACATCCTTCTCTCTTCTAAGAAAAATCCCAAGTGAGGAAGGGTTTTGTTTTCTTGAATTTCTTTCAGGTTCAAATGATTTTTTGAACATGTAGTTGGGCATATTAAGCAGCATATAGTAAAATAGTTATTTCAATAATATTTGCAGTTATGTGACTTTGGATTAGCTACTTGGACCACGGCACCTTCAATACCTTTCCTTTGCAAAACTGTGAAAGGAACATTTGGGTATGATTTTAACTANTCTCCTCCTCCTCCTCCTCCTCCTCAGCTACTCTCTGACGAGGAAGACCATCGGAGAACCATCCACAAGCGACAACAGCGTCCACCGACGAGCACATCCTCCACCAGCGACCACAGGCTCCACCAGCGTGCACAGGCTCCACCACCAACTGAGCAGTGAGCACATTCTCCATTCTCTATTTTTTGCCCAAAGGATTTGCTTTGTGGCTTGATCTATTCTGGTTGATCTGATATATTGCAACCTCATATGTTAGGGTTCTAGGTCTTGTGTGATTATTTTGGGATGATCAGAAGTTTGGGGTGCAGTCATTTATAAAATGGCTTATGGGTTCGGGCGATGCTCATGGATCTGTGTTCATGGGTGTTTTCTGAACAGATATCAAGAAGGTGAATCTAGGATTTGTATGTAATACGTAATAGGTTAGTGGTCTTTATAGGTAGTTTTGTTGAGTTTTGGTGGTTCGCGTGTGTTTTCTGCTAGATGGTGATTTTTTTTGTCGGTAATTTTTATGGTGGTGAGTTTTGGTGATTGTGTATTTTTTTTTTGTACTTATGAATATATTTTGTGGTCACAGAGTCATTCAATGGTTTTCTTTTCTTGTTGGGGTTTCCTTTTAGGTTTTATGTTGGAATTGCAGAGGCAGTCGGGTATTTGCACAATGGAACTGAGAGATGTGTTGTGCACAGAGACATTAAGCCCTCAAACATCCTTCTCTCTTCTAAGAAAAAGCCAAGGTGAGGAAGGGTTTTGTTTTCTTGAATTTCTTTCAGGTTCAAATGATTTTTTGAACATGTAGTTGGGCATATTAAGCAGCATATAGTAAAATAGTTATTTCAATAATATTTGCAGTTATGTGACTTTGGATTAGCTACTTGGACCACGGCACCTTCAATACCTTTCCTTTGCAAAACTGTGAAAGGAACATTTGGGTATGATTTTAACTATTGACAGAAATTTAAGAGGGAAAAAACTTTGATCTTTCCATTTACTGAAAACTGAAATCAAATGTGCAGATATTTGGCTCCTGAATATTTCTAGCATGGGAAAGTATCTGATAAAACTGATGTTTATGCTTTTGGTGTGGTCCTCTTGGAACTGATAAGTGGCAGGAAGCCAATCGAAACAAAAAAAGGACCTGGAGAAGAGAACTTGGTCTTGTGGGTAGGTCTCTGATAGCTAAATCTATGNACAGCGTCCACCGACGAGCACATCCTCCACCAGCGACCACAGGCTCCACCAGCGTGCACAGGCTCCACCACCAACTGAGCAGTGAGCACATTCTCCATTCTCTATTTTTTGCCCAAAGGATTTGCTTTGTGGCTTGATCTATTCTGGTTGATCTGATATATTGCAACCTCATATGTTAGGGTTCTAGGTCTTGTGTGATTATTTTGGGATGATCAGAAGTTTGGGGTGCAGTCATTTATAAAATGGCTTATGGGTTCGGGCGATGCTCATGGATCTGTGTTCATGGGTGTTTTCTGAACAGATATCAAGAAGGTGAATCTAGGATTTTTATGTAATACGTAATAGGTTAGTGGTCTTTATAGGTAGTTTTGTTGAGTTTTGGTGGTTCGCGTGTGTTTTCTATTGCTAGATGGTGATTTTTTTTGTCGGTAATATTTATGGTGGTGAGTTTTGGTGATTGTGTATTTTTTTTTTGTACTTATGAATATATTTTGTGGTCACAGAGTCATTCAATGGTTTTCTTTTCTTGTTGGGGTTTCCTTTTAGGTTTTATGTTGGAATTGCAGAGGCAGTCGGGTATTTGCACAATGGAACTGAGAGATGTGTTGTGCACAGAGACATTAAGCCCTCAAACATCCTTCTCTCTTCTAAGAAAAATCCCAAGTGAGGAAGGGTTTTGTTTTCTTGAATTTCTTTCAGGTTCAAATGATTTTTTGAACATGTAGTTGGGCATATTAAGCAGCATATAGTAAAATAGTTATTTCAATAATATTTGCAGTTATGTGACTTTGGATTAGCTACTTGGACCACGGCACCTTCAATACCTTTCCTTTGCAAAACTGTGAAAGGAACATTTGGGTATGATTTTAACTATTGACAGAAATTTAAGAGGGAAAAAACTTTGATCTTTCCATTTACTGAAAACTGAAATCAAATGTGCAGATATTTGGCTCCTGAATATTTCTAGCATGGGAAAGTATCTGATAAAACTGATGTTTATGCTTTTGGTGTGGTCCTCTTGGAACTGATAAGTGGCAGGAAGCCAATCGAAACAAAAAAAGGACCTGGAGAAGAGAACTTGGTCTTGTGGGTAGGTCTCTGATAGCTAAATCTATGGGTCCCCTTCTTTAATTTTGCTCAACTCATCTACTGTTTTAATTTTCCTAATAAGAACGGCACCCTAGACCTACAAATTGACAATACGTTAGTGAATGACCATTTCATCATCAAACAGTTTTCAGTGCAATGGGCTAAACACCCCAAAATAGCTTGTGATTTATCATGCAAACTGCCCATTGAGAGTTCTGTATGGTGTCCTTGTTCTCTGCTAGATTTGGTGAACTCTTTCTCGTTTATGGGTTGAAATTTATGGTAATCGTTTGCATCANGTAATAGGTTAGTGGTCTTTATAGGTAGTTTTGTTGAGTTTTGGTGGTTCGCGTGTGTTTTCTATTGCTAGATGGTGATTTTTTTTGTCGGTAATATTTATGGTGGTGAGTTTTGGTGATTGTGTATTTTTTTTTTGTACTTATGAATATATTTTGTGGTCACAGAGTCATTCAATGGTTTTCTTTTCTTGTTGGGGTTTCCTTTTAGGTTTTATGTTGGAATTGCAGAGGCAGTCGGGTATTTGCACAATGGAACTGAGAGATGTGTTGTGCACAGAGACATTAAGCCCTCAAACATCCTTCTCTCTTCTAAGAAAAATCCCAAGTGAGGAAGGGTTTTGTTTTCTTGAATTTCTTTCAGGTTCAAATGATTTTTTGAACATGTAGTTGGGCATATTAAGCAGCATATAGTAAAATAGTTATTTCAATAATATTTGCAGTTATGTGACTTTGGATTAGCTACTTGGACCACGGCACCTTCAATACCTTTCCTTTGCAAAACTGTGAAAGGAACATTTGGGTATGATTTTAACTATTGACAGAAATTTAAGAGGGAAAAAACTTTGATCTTTCCATTTACTGAAAACTGAAATCAAATGTGCAGATATTTGGCTCCTGAATATTTCTAGCATGGGAAAGTATCTGATAAAACTGATGTTTATGCTTTTGGTGTGGTCCTCTTGGAACTGATAAGTGGCAGGAAGCCAATCGAAACAAAAAAAGGACCTGGAGAAGAGAACTTGGTCTTGTGGGTAGGTCTCTGATAGCTAAATCTATGGGTCCCCTTCTTTAATTTTGCTCAACTCATCTACTGTTTTAATTTTCCTAATAAGAACGGCACCCTAGACCTACAAATTGACAATACATTAGTGAATGACCATTTCATCATCAAACAGTTTTCAGTGCAATGGGCTAAACACCCCAAAATAGCTTGTGATTTATCATGCAAACTGCCCATTGAGAGTTCTGTATGGTGTCCTTGTTCTCTGCTAGATTTGGTGAACTCTTTCTCGTTTATGGGTTGAAATTTATGGTAATCGTTTGCATCGTTTATCCTACTAAACCACACGATTTGGTTATTTTCAAGTGTTACATGAGATTAGACTTTTACTTCTCTTACCAGATTTTGGAACAATTTCAGAATCAACATGAACACTATTTTCTTCCAATTTGGACATACAGTCTTTAGGTTTTTTCCGTATCCCATTCATGAAAGGAAAGATTTTTTATATTGGATTAAGCATATGACACAGTTCACTTTGATTTTATGAGGCTGTCTGTTGAAAATTTTTAAGATATGAAGAAGAAACCTGTCATGTCGAATATTGCACTTCATTTTTGGTGATGTTCAATTTGTCTTTTCTTTTTCCTTGTCTTGACATGCCATTTACCTTGGTGCTCTAATTTTCCTAAAAACAACACTATTTTGGATCCTTTTGTGCCTTTCAAGAAGCTATGGAGGACATTGAAATAGTATCTGTTATATAATGAAACTCTGCGCGTGTAGTAGGTGCTTGTTAATTTAAGCTTCTAGTCAATATTAATGGCGGCAGAGATATTGATTTCATAAATTTGCAGGCAAAGCCATTATTGCAGCAAGGAACCATTGAAGTTTTGCTTGATCCAAGGTTCACATTCGCTAAAAAAAATTCAAAACAAATAACCCGAATGGTACAAGCTACAGCTGCATGTATAAATAACGAAGAATCCCGGAGGCCCAACATTGATGAAATTATTTCAATATTGAGAGGAGCAGAATCTAATTGCCCCAACAGGAAGAAGTCTGGCTTCCCTGGTAATAATTGTGTTGTCGATTGCTACTCTCAGTTGCAGCAGACAAAAAACGAAATCAAGAATCATTTAGCATTGGCCATGCTAGGAGTTTCAGAGCTTGACAGATTTTTCTTTTGCAAAAGCTTAAGAGTGTTGATTTGAAAAACACTGCTGAACGATTCTTTATGTTGATCTTTAAACACATTCTCTGTTCTCTTTGTCTGTCCTGTGTTCTTACATTCAATTTTTTTTCTTGTTCATTTTCTTTCGTGGAGTCTTGCAGAACTTCTCGTCTCAATATTATTGTTGTCGTTGTTGGTGGTGAACATGCTGAGTGTGAGATTGGCGAGGAACATGCATGCTATGCCACATGACGTTTTTAAAAACCATGGCTTTTAAGTGACGTTTTTAAAAAAAGACTGAGTGTGGGAAATAAAGTTTTAGGGCTGACTGAATTTGAGGAAAAGCTCCTCCAAATTGGGATGCTTTTATGACGTGGGAAGTGAGAGTATAATATTGAGATTTTTAACATATACAAAACATGTTTTTTGATATAGAAATGTGCCTTCAAAACATGTTTTTAGGTTTTTTTTATTAAATATATGTTTTACTAATATGTTTTTATATTGAAAAATATAAAATTAAATTATGCTTTTATGAATTTTATTTTCGATTATAAAATAAGTTCAAAATTTTTATGAAAAGGGAATTAAATTCTAAAATTTATTTATTTATTTATTTTTTTTGGTCCGGTGAATCATGATGTGAGACATAAGGTGATATTATTTAGTTTTTATGAAATTTATTACAAGTTGATGGTTAGAGACTTTTGGCTAAGAAAACGTTAATGTAAAAGGCTAGAAAACGTCAATGTAAAAGGTTTAGGGATAAATAACGTCAATGTAAAGGTTAAGACGTAGAAAACGTGATTAAACAAAAAAGGGAATAAAACGTCACTGTAAATGACGTTTTTAACCCATTTATTTTTCTAAATGTCTGTTAGACTCTATTAAAAATTTTTGTTATAAAATGTCATTTTAAATGATGACTTTAAAAACATTATTACGAATGAAGGTTTAGCGAAAAAAAAATTTATGTTCAAATTGTCATTCTAAATAACATTTTAAGAGGAGAAGGAGTCATTTTAAATGACGTTTTAAAAAAAAATTAGGTTCGAGAATTAAGTTTAAAAGTGACTGAATTATAAAATTAAATTTTGAGGGGCTGAACTTAGGAAAAAGCTCCTACTTGTTTATATAGGGGGCGTTGAAACAGAGAAGCCTATGTCTTGTTGGAGTATGCTAGAGTAACCAAAAATAAAGGAAAATGGTATGTTTATTTAATTTTTTTACCAAATCAATATTAACGAGATTAAGTTATTTGATAGTTAAAAATTGTGTCATGTCATTTAAAATAGAAATTTAATCAAAAAATTTGATAATTATAACATCACTTACCAAAAAATAAAAAGAAATTTGGTAAGGTGATGCATCGGCCTCTTAATATGTACAATGGTTAAATTAGAACTCTTACGGTCGATTGAGAGTTGAACCCACACTTAAGACTTGAAGACGATTTATCCAGTTAATAGAGACTCGTCCTACTAACCAAATTATGCTGACGCTAGCCATAAAGATTGCTAAGTTTTGAACTCAAGTTGTCTTAGTTTACAATTCGCCCTTATTTCCACTTGAACTATCTCTGGGATTGTATGAGATTATAATTGGTGTTTCTTTTTATTATTTAATTTATCTTTTTTTCCTTTCATTTTATCATTTGAGAAGTTAGATAAAATGATTATAAAAAAATGTTAGGTGTTTGAAAATATTTTTTTTTGAATAAATTTTTAAAAATAGGGATCGATTATTGGGAGAATTGAGAGATGATTACAAAATAGGGATGCCAGTGGACCGGGTAAAAATAAATATTCGTTCAAACTCGTTCTGTTTGGACCGGGAATGGATCATACATATTGGACGATTGACGTATACGGAAATACCCGTATAAACTCGTATGAGAATGAACTGATACTTACCCCCACCCTGCTTTACCCTTTATTATTATTATTATTATTATTATTTTATATATATATACACATACACACATACACACACACATGTTGTGAATACAAATTTACATATTATTGAATGATTTTTTCTTTTGAAAATTGTTTGTTTTATTTTATTTTATTTTTTTCATGATTTTGGCTTATAAAAGTGTAGATCTTTGTGTTTTTATATTTTTTTATGTTGGATTATATTATATTATGTTACATTATATTATGTTGTAGACAAGGTTTTAATTATATTATGTTGTAAATGATAAACTTTTAATTATATTATAATATTCTATAATTATGTTGGATTATTTAAAATGTTAGATTTATTTATAATTTTGAATTATGTTGGATTGAGATTGAGATTGGGATTGGGAGTGGGGGCGGGGGGCAGGACAGGGACGAAAATTATAAATTTACCTGCAGACGGGGATAGAGATAATAAATTATACTTGTTAACGGAGATGGACAAAATTTTTTTAAAGCGGGTACAGAGATGAAGACTACACCCCCCGCCCCCGCTTCGATTCACTGTCATCCTTAATTACAAATGATACATGATAGTGCGTTCCATTGGAGGAAGCCATATGATTTGAATTAAAAAATTTTAAATTTTAAAAAATTAAGAAATATGGAGGAAAATCTTGTCAAACCTTCTTCTTTCTAATTTGTTATATATATATATATATATTATTTTAATAATTTTTACATCATTCCTTTATAGTTTGCCATTGATTGAAATTAAAATTGTTAGATGTATAACATGCCTCCTAAGACTATTTCCAATAAAAACTCAAACCCTTATGTAAATTTGAGNCGTAAATTTGAGTAAAAAAAAAGGGTAAAAAACTTGACTTGGTATAGATCTCCCCAATAGAGAAATTCAAATTTAAAAGAAGAGAAACCTAAATTTAAAAGAAGGTNTGTAAATTTGAGTAAAAAAAAAAAAGTAAAAAACTTGACTTGGTATAGACCTCCCCAATAGAGAAATTCAAATTTAAAAGAAGAGAAACCTAAATTTAAAAGAAGGTAAATTATGATTATTGAATCTTTAAAGAAGGGTGTAATCTCACTATGAAAGATTAGAGTTTAAAACAAAGGATCTCCCTTAATTTGAGTTTAAAAAAAGGTTTTCCTTCATTTAGTATGGTTACAAGTCTAGCATTGAAAAAGTATTTTACACCATTTTTACCCAAATTTAAGATACAAAAAAGAGTAATGGCCGGAGATGCTAAAAGAATTTTAATTGTTTTGTTGGAGTATGCTAGGGTAACAAAAAATTAAATTTCGGTACCGTATTATCATATAATTATTTATTCTTTTTTGTATCTTTAAAGATTTTTTACATCATCTCTGTTATCGATGCAATCGATTGATTTTAAAATTGTTACATCCATCGTAAACCTCCTATATATAAAGATTTTATGCGTCATTCCTTTATAGTTGTGATTGGTTGATTTCAAAATTATTAGATCCATTACAAACATTCTAAAAATTTTA